GGGCGCGGTGACCTGTTCCGTGGGGATCAGCGCGGCCCCAGGCGGCGCCAGAGCTGCCCTCCGTCCCCAAGAGTCACGGACCTGCGGCCAGAGCCACACTCATTATTTAAAGTGTAGTCTGTCTTCCTTCCAGCTTCATTTTCTGGGGGGACAAAAACGCATAAACGGTAGCTTGGAACATCTGTGGCCAGGTGGCTTCCCTTGAGCTTTGAGGTGGGGGTTGGTTAGAACCCTGGGTTGGAGTGGGGTGTCCTGTGCAGGAACCACGACAGGATGGGGGCCACGCCAGGGAGAGGGAGGCAGGTCCGGGAACCGCCCGTGAGGGGCCAGGAGGAAATGGGAGTCGAGGTTGGGGGACATCTAAGGCTGAGCCCTGGGCTCTGCTTTAGGGGAGAGGCGCCTTGCGGCCGCTATGGGCCAGCTTGTCGTCTGCTGTCCACCCTGTGGCACTAGCTGTCCAGACCTTGCTAGGGTCAGCGTGCCCTGTGCTCTGGCTGGTGTGTGTGTGGGGGGATCAGGCTCTGAGACTGTGACTGCAGGCCCCTGACCCACACACCTGGCATGTGGGCGCCCCCAGCACCCCATCCACCGCTGGCCCCTCCTCATGGCTGTGGTACCTCAGGGCACGGCTTTCTGGCCAGCTGGGTGGCTTGGCCTGTGAAGGTTCCACTTCAGAGCAGAGGGCGCCCGGAGCAGCCATGTGACCAGCCCTTGCCACAGGGCCCACTTCCGAGCAGCTTGGGGCTGGGCTGCCACCGAGGAAGGGGCGAGTTGACACCTGGGTTTGCAGACAAAGCAGACGCTGTTTTCAGATCTGACGGGAGCTGGGAGCTCGTGGTGGAGGGAAGGAGGTGGTGGTGGGGGAGCTCATGTGGAGGGAGGTGGGGGGCCGGGCCCAGGTGGCAGGGCCCCACGCAGGCCCCTGGGAAGGAGAGGGTGCCGCCCCAGACCCCGAGTCACAGCAGCCTCGGAGGCCACGGTTTTCTGTATTTGGCAAGAAAAAGCCGTTTTCACGTCCCAGGAGATGGGACACATGCACACGCACGCACACTCACCAGGCTGCCCTCTCCGTGGGGACCTTCTCCCTCAGAGGCTCCGGAGGGCTGAGCCTCGCGGCCGTGGCCTGGGGACTTTCCCGCAGGTGGGCCGGGAACTGCTGCTACCTGAGCTGCCGGCAGGAGGGACTTTCCGGGCCTCGTCCTGTGGGAGGCTCCTCTCTGGGAAACTCCTTAAATTAGCTGTCGAGTAGGTAAGCCTGGGCCACGGCACGACTTAAAAGGTACAAAACAACCAGCCGTGCCGCCCCAGCCGCCGGCGCCCTGCGATGCCAGATCTGTGTGTGTGTGCGCACGTGTGCGTGGTGCATGCACGTGTGCATGCGTGTGTACGTGTGTGCTCTCTCCACCTTTACACACCTGGTGCCCACCTGTCCTGGGGCTGCACAGGCCCTGTCGGAGGCCACCACGTGCTCCCGGGACAGTCGCTGGGCCGTCCGTCTTCTCTGTTCGGGGAGCTGGGGCTCGCCCTCGACCAGGGCTCCTGGAGCAGCCACACGCTCTAGCACGTGGGCCAGTGACACGCCATGCACACAGGGACACAGCCCACACATGCTCCCGGGCTGCACCCTGCTGCCCGGAGAGGGCGGACCCACTCGGCGGCACGGCTGGGTCTGGCCGGCCAGCCTGGGAGCAGGGATGGGGCCTGGATGAGGTGCTTCTGCCCCAGCCCCGCCTGGGCTCCCACACCGGGTGTCAGCCAGGCTGTTCCTTGTGGCGTCCTTGGCGGGCAGGTGGCCACCTGCCATGTCTTCACATGGCCGGCCGGCCCTCTGGTTCTCCTGGGGTCTCTTCTTGCAACAAGGCCAGTCGTGTGGGGCCAGGCCCTCCCCTTACAACCTCCTCTGACCTCAGTCACCTGCAAGTGCAGCCACCCTGGGGGTCAGGGCTCCTGTGTGGACCTGGGGACACCAGCCTCTCACACCTACGGGCCCAGACGCGGCTGCACACAGGCACCTGCTCCCGCGGCTGCAGCC